AACACCACTACACCAAAGGTTAGCCGATTTAAATCAACGGTAAACAAAATTAATCAATTCAATTTTTCAATTTCAATTGTTTATTCCTTGATAGAGGAAGCGGGATCCTAGTGCTGTCACTAGGTACCCCTGTACAATGACACCAGAAGCATCTGGCAAGTGTGACAAGTATATACAGTATAAATATTATAAAGGGGCTTACTAAAGCCTAAGGAAGGAAGGATATTCCTTTAACACATAATCAATATTATTTACAAATATCTGGCCAGTATGGGGAGGATCATCGTGTCTCCGTCAGGGGGTCGTGGAGTGGTGGTCAGCAGGCGTCACGGAAGCGTTGTGTGTGGGGATCTCAGGAGGTAGTGAATAAGGGTGCTGCTGTCGGGTCTTCTGCATAATGCACAAGAGCGTTGCTCAGGGGATGCGGGGATACCAATCTCCCAAGCAAAGTCATATAATGATGATACGGGCAGCAATCACGTCCCTTTCCGCGACCCTTTCCGTGTAGACGTACGAGAGGTCAGGAAGTTTACGGAGGACATCGTACCAGGTGGGCGGGGAGTCCAGGAGGATGGCTGCTTCCCGAGCTTCTCTCTGTTTGCGGCGAATTTGGGTCCTAATCTGTAAAAGTGTTCGTGGAACAACGTAGTCAGGTGTGGCCTTGTTGCAGCCAGTCTTGGCAAGGCCATCTGCTGCCTCATTCCTCAAGATACCGACAAGACTGGGTATCCATAGGAATGTCACAGGACGGCCTGCATCCTGAAGTGTGGATGTTAACCCTCGTATTCGGAGGATGAGGTCCTTATTTTCCCCCGATCCAAATGCGATCCCGTCGAGAGCAGACCTGGAATCGCAGCAGACAAGCAAGGGGCAGAAGCCATCTGCTTCTTCCTCAGCAGAAGGGCAGCAAGGAGGGCTATTAGTTCAGCCAGAGTGGAGGATGCCCCGTCAGAAACTCTGAGAGACAGTTTGATAGGCTCAGGGGCATCAGGACGGGAGATGTAGACACCAGCCCCGGCCCTACCTGTAGCGGGGTCAACAGAACCATCAGTGTAGAGGACGACCCTACCTGGGGACCAGTGGGCGATCATGGAGAGGTGGTATTTGCAGAGAATAACAGGGTTCACCTGGGATTTCAGGAGCGGTCCACCGAGGGCAATCACTTCAGGTTGAAAATCCAGCCAGGGAGAAGGAGACGAACCAACAGCAGGGGTGACAACAATAACAGGCAGGAGGTCGTGTTCCTGAAGGGCTCGGATGAGTGACCCTCGCCACTGTCTTATAGATGGAGGTCGATCTCGGACAGCAGGAGTCAAGTTGGTTTGGACAGTTGCCCCGAGGATCCCGTAGAATGGAAACGGCAGTTTTTAGGTAAAACTCCTGGACACGATCCTGTAAGAGGGAAAGACCAAGTTCGGTATATAGAGAAGTAGAGCGTGTCCACTGAGGAGCCCCAAGGATGATACGAGCAGCTTTCCTCTGGATAACTTCAAGACGGTTGACAGCAGTCCGACTAATGTTGACGAGGGCAGGGGCGGCGTAGTCGACACAGGAACGGACAAAGGACTTGTACATGGTGAGAAGTACATGGATGGTGGCACCAAGGGAACCCCTGCACACATGGTAGAGAGGGGAGCGAGACGCCGAAAGCATGTCTCGAAGATAGCGGACTTCAGGGATCTGACAACGTGTGCGAGTTACATACACACCCAGGTATTTTGTCTCATTAACCCAGTCCAAGGGCGTTCCTGATAAGAGAAGGGGTGGAGGTACAACACGACCGTGCCACATGGCTTTTGTTTTCGCAGTTGAAAGAAGGAAACCAAGTGAATCACACTCTCTGGAGACCAGATCAAGGGCTTCCTGCATGCTGAGGTAGTCAGGGGCTTGGAGGAGGACATCGTCGGCATATCCTGAGTGGACAACTTCTGTCGGCCACGGGAGAGATGCAATGGAGTGCATGAGAGTGTTAAACAAGGTGGGACTCAGGACTCCACCTTGAGGGGTGCCGAGGTTCATTTCTTGAACAGGAGACATAGAGCCTTCCAAAATTAATCTTTTTTCTTCTTGATTTGAATATATTTGTTGCTGTTATTATTACTACCAGATGATCTTAGTTATTTATTATACAAGATTTGGAAAAAGCAAGAGCTAGGGTGAACAGAGAAACATTTGGGGAGGTATTACAAGTGTATGAGGTGGTAGGAAGGCTATTAAGTGTGAACAGCTGCTCAACAGTAAGAGTAAATAGGGAAGAAATTGAAACATCTGCAGTAAATGTGAGTGTTAGACAAGGGCATGAGCTATGTCCCTATGGTTGTTCAAATGTTCAATATACAGTAGACATGGATGTGAACTATTATACACTGATGAAAATGGTGATAATAAGCCTTCTTACGGGGCTGCACACATCTCAAATCCTGATTATAAGGGAGTTAACTTGCCACTGTTCGGTATAACTGGTGACTGCATCTGTTTATGGTTGGGCTCTGATTCTAATGTGATCAGATCCTGTATTTTATGGATCCAGGGGAACCAAGTTACCTCTCTCTCTCTCTCTCTCTCTCTCCAACAGTACTTTAATGAATTCTTTAAAACTTTCAACTGAAAAGATAGAATAGTTTTTCTCATGCATTACGATAACGTAAACTTAATTTTTCCTTTAAGTTTATAGGATGAGTCTGGATGAGTCTTGGCCTTTGTACAATGATTGTTTGTGATGGAAAAAGAGCAGAAATAATAACTAAATCATCCTGAATGTAACGTTTATGATTAGTAGCAGATTAATACGTTATATAAAGAGCTACAACTACTTAAAACTTAATAAAACCACTACACCAACCACTAAACCAACCTAGCACCACTACACCAACCACTAAACCAACCTAACACCACTACACCAACCACTAAACCAACCTAGCACCATTGCACCAGCACTAAACCAACCCTGCTTCACTACGCAACCACTAAACCAACCTAGCACCTACGCAACCACTAAACCAGCCTAGCACCACTGCACCAACCTGGCACCACTACCAACCTAGCACCACTAAACCAATCTAGCACCACTACACCAACCACTATACCAACTTCTTTACTACACCAGCCACACTATACCAACCTAGCACCACTACACCCAGCCACTATACCAACCTAGCACCACTATACCAACCTAGCACTACTACACCTACCACTATACCAACCTAGCACCACTACACCAACCACTATACCAACCTAGCACCACTACACCAACCTAGCACCACTACACCAACCTAGCACCACTATACCAACCTAGCACCACTATACCAACCTAGCACTACTACACCTACCACTAAACCAACCTAGCACTACTACACCTACCACTATACCAATCTAATTCCACTACACTCACTTAGCACCATTACCACTACACCTATCTAGTGCCACTACCTTAATACACCTGCAACACTTCTCTAGAACACTACACGGCAGCTATACACCCTGCCACTACACCCACAACAAGCACACTCTCTCCCTACACCGCCAAATACACCATTCCATTTATCCTTCACTACACCCTAACAATCATCTGCCTCTGTACACCCTACCACTCCACCCACAACATCACTCACCTTCCCTACCTCTGTAAACCAGAATAATAAACCCAGCACAACAAGTACACCAGGCCTCCTTAAACCACCTACAACATCCCTACACCACCATCATCATTCATACCTCTCCCTCACAACACCCCAACACGGCTGTCTGGGTGCTGCTTCAGTGAAAGATACAGATAGGCATCGCAGGTGAATATTTTGGCCACCCGCATGAAATAAGACGAAGCTTTAAGACCTTCCTAGGTGAATGAATTGAGGCAGAAGCACACGAACGATTTATCTTATCGAGTGTTACACGATTAGAATGGAGATACTGTACCCGGTATATGCCAATACATACAGTACTTTATATTTGTGGGTTAAGTGATGACCTGCCCTGCTGTATACACACACATCTCTAGTACAGTATAGGAACGAAGATCAGTGTGAAGACAAAAGCCACTAATCTTTCCTGAAACAGTTTGGAAGGAATCGGAGCACTTTCAACATTTTTTTCTTGTTGAAGAGTACCAAGGGGATAGTCACTGATATGTAATCACTTGCAAAAATAAAAAGCAAGAATAAATAATACTACATATTTTAGCTGTTATTTATGCAACAATAACAGCAAAGTTTCAACATTCACCATTATATTAAACACATCGCAAGAAATACTGGCTTGGGTTGGATTGGGTCGATTTGGTTTAGTGTGGGAACCCCCCATTTCACGAACTGGACCTTCGTAACAGTGTTCATACAGACAGCCACAAGGAAACTGATCAAATGTGATTAGGAGTCAACAGATCAGATAATAAAATATAATAAAATTCATAAGGTAGAACTAAACTGACTCAGTAACCCCGGTCATTGTGGAGACTTTCTGTGGCGGCCTCGGTGATCGGAAAGAAATTTACGGAAAAAGTAACAAATTTTGCGAGAAAAAATTATCAGTGGTAGTATCAAATTATTGGAAAAAAGCAACAGCCAAAACATGAAATAAAATATGATTAAAACATATATACGAGGACTTTATTGATAAAAAACATATTATTACATTATTCTAGTACAGTAGGTATGGCATCCTGTAGGTGGTGAGGAGGTTTCTTGCGTTTCTGGAGATGTTGACAGCTTCTGCAGGCGGGAAGGGAGGTGTTCATAAACTGCTGAAGTAGTAGTCGGGTCTTCATATTCTGAAGGTTTGGTTAGGTTAGGTTATGATAGTTTGTTAGGTTAGGTTATGATAGCTTATTAGGTTAGGTCGTACAAACAGGTAATTAGGTAGTATTGACGAAACCATCTATTTACTGATACTTTACTTCCTGTTACTTTTTAGCCGTTACTTTTTCCCCTGTTACCTTCTTTTCTACATTCGGCGGCCTCACCCTGCAGCCACAACCAACCCACTAACCTCCTGCTCCTTTTTAGAGTGTCGCCTGCTGCTGAAATTTGCGACGGCGTGTGTGTTGATGATTGTCCTGGTGGCGTTGTGCAGGAGAGAGTACGCCGTCAGGGTAGATAAACAACTTAGCCCCTTGCCTAAACTCTTTAAGGATTGTCGAAGGAGAGATAATGCAGAAGAGAGGAATAAGGTGAGTACTTCTATACCCTTCAAATTTTACAGTTGTTCCATGTTCACCTACTTCGTTATACACTGCAGTGTACCTTGTTGTACTCAGTAAATATTGGTAATGTTATCCATTTCCAATATTTACTGTGACCATTTTCAAAATTTACTTCAAATAGAAAAGGTAAATAACTATATTGTTAATTATCGCAGGTGCAGGGGGACTTTGTAGCACCCTGTTGGAGGTCGTGGAGCTAGGGGATGATTTCGCCGTTCCTCCTTATACTGGCGCACTTGCCTACGTACTCCATAACCAACCATTCGTTCCCTGTTTTTCATCGAATCTTCTCTCTCTTGCACATCAGGAGTTGTTTGTGCTGTTCCCTCTGCATTACTGTGCGATCTGGGGTTAAGAATATGTTGTGAACTGTTGTATTATCTGCCAAGTTTTTGCCTATCGAATGTATCTCACCTTTATTCCCCATTCTCTAATGTGGTCGTGATGGAGCGGGGCTTATTATCCTGCTTCTGTCCTGGCCTCTTTACTTTGCTAGGGGCAACTGACAGTTTCAGAGCTTCTCTCAGAGACTCTATAATGTCATACACGATTATATTATTCCTGCGCTAGAGATGACCCTGGCATTCATCTCTCTCACAATTATCAGTACTGGCTATAATTCTTTAACACTTCTGCAGAGACCCCAGCTGCCGCATGACCTGTTCTGATCCTACATCCCTCTCAAAGAAGTATCACACTGGGCGATATTTCTGCCGTTATCTGTTGTCATTTTTCCGTTCTCGATAAAAACTCCTGACATTTCCCAAGTGTGATGGCCCATTTAGTCACCTTGTGTCCCTGTCGCAACCCGAGTTTAACTTCTCTTGACTAATTCATCTATCTTATCAACTTCTAATTTAGCCTTAGTGGAAGTCACTTTTTCAACTTGTTTCTAGTTTGGTAACTACCGAGGAACCAACTTCTATTTTTTATTCTAAATTTCTTTCTTTTATAACCAGTAATAGCCTCGTCGGTTTTGATCTTACAGTCAGGGCAACATTATGGAAAGAAGAGGAAAATAAGAATAAATACTTTGACATATGTTATTATAGTGCGCTTTTTCTCAGCTGAGAAAAGATGCCCCGCCCCCTCCTCAAGAGTTACAGCTGATTTGCTGTTGCAAACCTGTCCGATTTTGTCCTGAAGTAATGATGTATTAGATGAGTTTATTCATAATCGTTGGGATGACCGTTTCTGACGAGAAAGATATTTAGCTAAATTATATAAAGAAACATACATTCATTATTTCAAACATAAGTACGTAGGAAGTTTATCAGATGTATTAAACATGAATTAACTGTTAAACTCTGGTAGCAAATTCACGCTTTTGGAGGACGCATTTAATATATACTTATTTTTACCTACAATAAGACAAACTAGGACAAATTACATATCAGTAATAGTACATTATGCAAAAACAAAATATTTAAAGATCAAAATCACATTGAAATATTACACGACCGTTAGCAGAGGCGGGAAAAATATGAAGTTGTTAGCAGTCATATTTCCCGCCTCTGACTTTTACTTATCACAGTAAGAGCTGATACATTGAAAAGATACCAAGAGCAGCTCACAGCAGTACACACATACTGTAGTTAACAGCGAAAAAGTGAAAGGGTAAAGAGGAATGTCTTATCACATATGAGTAACGACATCCAGTCAGAAACCTAACTAAGGGGGACGAATCCTGTATAGCATTAAGTAAAAAACACACGATTATAATAATTTATAGTATAACATTACCAGTAAGTGTGTGGTGCATCAGAGTGACCACCACGAGAGCAAACATTGAAATTTTTTTAATTAACAAAGCCACAATTCACACCTAAAGGAACTGGTATTCCTCAAACCAAATTCACACACAAAAAACATCTCGACACCGATAAATTTACCACACTTCCCAGACGCCAGGCAACTCCCAGCACCAGACATCTATACAGCGAAATCACTATACTGTGTAGTTAACAGTATCTATACCTATAGTAGCTACAAGGGAATCTTAACTCGGTGATAATAGTTTCTCTCGCCCTACAAAGCCTAGTCGGGTAACAGATTAATTAGATTAAAACAATGAAAAGTTCTCTGTACCAGCTGTTTCATCCACCATAACTCTCTCTACCAGCTGTTTCATCCACCATAACTCTCTCTATCAGCTGTTTCATCCAGCATAACTATCTTTACCAGCTTTTTCATCCACCATAACTCTCTCTACCAGCTGTTTCATCCACCATAATTCTCTACCAGCCGTTACATCCAGCATAACTCTCCCTACCAGCTGTTTCATCCAGCATAACTCTCTCTACCAGCTGTTTCATCCAGCATAACTCTCTCTACCAGCTGTTTCATCCACCATAATTCTCTACCAGCTGTTTCATCCAGCATAACTCTCTCTACCAGCTGTTACATCCAGCATAACTCTCTCTTCCAGCTGTTACATCCAGCATAACTCTCTCTACCAGCTGTTTCATCCACTATAATTCTCTACCAGCTGTTTCATCCACCATAACTCTCTCTACCAGCTGTTTCATCCCAGCATAACTCTCTCTTCCAGCTGTTACATCCACCATAACTCTCTTCCAGCTGTTACATCCACCATAACTCTCTACCAACTGTTTTGCATCCAACTCTCTCTTCAGCTGTTACATCCACCATAACTCTCTCTTCAGCTGTTACATCTACATAACTCTCTCTAACTAGAACTTTCATCCAGCATAATATCTCCTCTTCCAGCTTTCTTACATCCCACCGCTTAACTCTCTCTAACTGTTCATCAGCATAACTCTCTCTTGGCTGTTGCATCCACCATAACTCTCTCTACCAACTGTTTCATCAACATAACTCTCTCTCTTACCAGCTATTCACATAACTCTCTCTTCCAGCTGTTACATCCACCATAACTCTCTCTTCCAGCTGTTACATCCACCATAACTCTCTCTACCAACTGTTTCATCCAGCATAACTCTCTCTTCCAGCTGTTACATCCACCATAACTCTCTCTACCAACTGTTTCATCCAGCATAACTCTCTCTTCCAGCTGTTTCATCCAGCATAACTCTCTCTACCAGCTGTTTCATCCAGCATAACTCTCTCTACCAGCTGTTTCATCCAGCATAACTCTCTACCAACTGTTTCATCCAGCATAACTCTCTCATAACCCAGCTGTTTCATCAAGCATAAAACTCTCTCCTGCAAGCTGTTTCATCCAGCATAACTCTCTCTACCAACTGTTTCATCAGCATAACTCTCTCTTCCAGCTGTTTCATCAGCATAACTCTCTCTACCAGCTGTTTCATCCAGCATAACTCTCTCTACCAACTGTTTCATCCAGCATAACTCTCTCTGCCAGCTGTTTCATCCAGCATAACTCTCTCTACCAGCTGTTTCATCCAGCATAACTCTCTCTACCAGCTGTTTCATCCAGCATAACTCTCTCTACCAGCTGTTTCATCCAGCATAACTCTCTCTACCAACTGTTTCATCCAGCATAACTCTCTCTGCCAGCTGTTTCATCCAGCATAACTCTCTCTACCAGCTGTTTCATCTGTATCCGTCCCTTCCACAGCCTCCCATCCCCGACAACCCTCGAGACAGCCCAGTATGCAGACCGGCAAATATTCCGAACAAGTTCCTGATAGAGGAGGAAGACTTCTGCCAGCGTGGTCAACCCCTACAGGTAGTGTCCTTCGTGCATTCGTCCATTAGTCGCGTGAAGAAGAGGATGGAGACAAGGAAGACGTGGGCCAATGCTTCCGCTTATGGGCTTGGTACCCATAATGGCGTCGTGTTTATGGTCGGTCGAGCCAAGAATCCACACGAGGAGATGATTGTCCAGAATGAGAGCCTTTTGTACCATGATATTGTACAGGTGAGGTGGGCCAAGGAGGCTTTGTTTACTTGGCCTAAATTATACCTCCAAATTATACCATCCCTGCTGTAGTGTACCATCCCTACTGTAGTGTACCATCCCTGCTGTAGTGTACTATCCCTGCTGTAGTGTACCATCCCTGCTGTAGTGTACCATCCCTGCTGTAGTGTACCATCCCTACTGTAGTGTACCATCCCTGCTGTAGTGTACCATCCCTACTGTAGTGTACCATCCCTGCTGTAGTGTACCATCCCTGCTGTAGTGTAACATCCCTGCTGTAGTGTACCATCCCTGCTGTAGTGTACCATTCCTGCTGTACTGTACCATTAACTGAACCATATGAGATTTTGTTTACTTTCATCAAAAGATAAAGCAAACACGTCTGTGTGTTGTTTTTGCTTGACAGGGAGACTACGGCGACCACTACCAACTACTGAGTTACAAAGCATTAGCGGCTATGAACTGGATAACCCGCCACTGTTCCCACGTACCCTGGACGCTCCACGCTGACGACGACCTGATCATTGATTCCTTTCTACTGCAGGAGTTTATCCAGACCCTCAACAGCGAGTCTAAGAAGCAGATCATTTGCAGACGGATGGTAGGGCGTGTGTTGAGGAAGGGGAAATGGAAAGTGACCAGGGAAGAGTACTCAGCCAAAATGTATCCCAAATACTGCCAGGGGACGATGTGGCTCCTGGCTACAGAACAACTACCTAAGCTACTTGAGGCCTCTAAGGAAGTGAGTTACCTGTGGGTTGACGACGCCTTCATCACTGGTCTGCTGGTTCAAAAGGCCCACATTGGTTTGAAAGACATAGGGTCTAAATTTACTAGAATATTTAAGCGGTCAGATATAGGCAAGAAGATAGCGTGGTGGCACTTGCCCAATGTAAACAGCACGGCAATATGGCGGCAGATAGTTCATTACCATAAGCAAAGATACAAACCCAACCCAAGCCAACCCAACTCAATCCAACCCAACCTAACTTAACCCAACCCAATCAACTTAAATTTACCCAACCTAACCTAATCTAACCCAATCTAACGTCAAAGATTCACAGGGACCAATACTATAAAGCAAATGATAGTCACATACTCAAATGCTTTCAATATTTGGTGCAAGAATTATTTACAAGTTTAGATTCACAGAGCAAATCCTCACTGACAAAGTCCACTCATTTAAGTGGCACACAGATCTGAGCTCAATAGTATTTCGTGAAGCAGAGAAACTCCTCAGTTCTCTCTACTCCCTCCCTCTCCTCCCCGTCACTCTCCCACCAGAGACATTAAGTATAATGGTAATAACAATATAACAATGACAGTAATTGATATTCATAATAAAACAATATATAAAAGAAGTTACCACAAAAAAAAGACAATTCGATCGACACCTTAAACTTCTTCAATTAACATAAACTTATGCATTTATTAATAAGTGTAACTTCACTAGATTCAAATCTACCGAGACCATGTACAACACAACGAGTCAACTTCACGACCAACAAACATTGACATAATTACGTAAAGAACAATACAAAATACAAGAACTCGCTGTACACAACAAACTGCACAGATTAGCATAACAAAATATTACACTATACATCACACACACACACACTGACACCCTCAATAATTCTTCCTTATGCCTACTCTGCCCTTGAACCACTCTGCTCTAGGGGTGTACTTTTAGCCTACATCTATATAAGTTCTACCAACGAGGCTATTACACAGGAGGGGGAGGTAAACGAAAAACAGTCGTTTAGCAATTTGCTGATAATGGAGAGTCTACTGTATAAAGATAGATTAACGTGTATTGTCCGTCATCTTGTTTCAAGTACAAAATAAAAATTTGTTCGTGGCGTGGCATGACATGGGGGTCTGTTCATGGTTGTGGTGAACAGTAAACATATCACAAGTTCTATTGTTTACAAAAATGTCTTAATCTAATAACTCTATAAAAAATTTCCGTTAATAAAGTTTTGTATATAAGACAATGTCTCTCATTAAGTCAGTGAGTCTCATTATACTTCCTGTGTGTAAAAATAAAACATTGGGAAAACCTGAAGATTAGCTCCCCAGTTTACTTCACCCTAACGCTAATCAAAACTAACCTAACCTAATTTAACTTAACCTAAAATAACCTAACCTAACCTAACCACCCTAACGCTAATCAAAACTAACCTAACCTAATTTAACTTAACCTAAAATAACCTAACCTAACCTGACTGTCAAGGTAGCGTGAGGGTGTTTACTCACCAGATGAAATAAGCTGAAGTGCTGCAATTATCACCGGTTATATAATTATACGCTTAGTTCTGTCACCACTCACTAATCCTGTCCCCACTCAATAATACTGTCCCCACTCAATAATACTGTCACCACTCACTAATCCTGTCCCCACTCAATAATACTGTCACCACTCACTAATACTGTCCCCACTCAATAATACTGTCCCCACTCACTAATACTGTCACCACTCACTAATACTGTCACCACTCACTAATACTGTGCCACCTCACTAATACTGTCACCACTCACTAATCCTGTCACCACTCACTAATACTGTCCCCACTCACTAATACTGTCACCACTCACTAATACTGTCAACACTCACTAATACTGTCACTCACTAATACTGTCACCCACTCACTAATGCTGTCACCACTCACCCTAATCCTGTCACCACTCCCCTAATACTGTCCCCCACTCACTAATACTGTCACCAATCACTAATCCTGTCACCACTCACTAATACTGTCCCCACTCACTAATACTGTCCCCACTCACTAATACTGTCCCCACTCACTAATACTGTCACCACTCACTAATACTGTCACCACTCACTAATACTGTCACCACTCACTAATCCTGTCCCCACTCAATAATACTGTCACCACTCACTAATACTGTCCCCACTCAATAATACTGTCCCCACTCAATAATAATGTCCCCACTCAATAATACTGTCCCCACTCAATAATTCCAGTATTCATTTCACGCTTGTCTACACTCACATAAACAAGCTTAAGAATAATGCTTTCCTCAACTGGTTATGTAAGCTTACGTCATGTCAGGTTAGGTCAGGTTAGCGTTAGGGAGGTTAATAAACTGGGGGTCTAATTTTCGGGTGATCCATTGTTTATTTTCTTGTTAAATATATAAACGTTATCAATGTTTACCTCGTGTTGTGGTATACATTATGTATGTATTATAGTTAGCTTACCTCAACAACCTGTCCAGCTCACTAGCATGTCAAAGATCACCAGCCTGTCAAGCATATCAACCTGTCAAGCTCATTAGCATGTCAAAGATCACCAGCCTGTCAAGCATATCAACCTGTCCAGCTCACTAGCATGTCAAAGATCACCAGCCTGTCAAGCATATCAACCTGAGAAGCTCACTAGCATGTCAAAGATCACCAGCCTGTCAAGCATATCAACCTGTCAAGCTCACTAGCATGTCAAAGATCACCAGCCTGTCAAGCATATCAACCTGTCAAGCTCACTAGCATGTCAAAGATCACCAGCCTGTCAAGCATATCAACTGTCCAGCTCACTAGCATGTCAAAGATCACCAGCCTGTCAAGCATATCAACCTGTCAAGCTCACTAGCATGTCAAAGATCACCAGCCCTGTCCAAGCATATCAACCTGTCAGCTCACTGGCATCCAAAGATCACCAGCCTGTCAAGCGCCATCAAGCCTGTCAAGCTCACTAGCATGTCAAGATCACCAGCTGTCAACATATCAACCTGTCCAGCTCACCAGAATGTCAAGATCACTCAGCCTGTCAGAAGCATATCAACCTGTCCAAGCTCACTAGCATGTCAAAGATCACCAGCCTGTCAAGCATATCAACCTGTCCAGCTCACTAGCATGTCAAAGATCACCAGCCTGTCAAGCATATCAACCTGTCCAGCTCACTAGCATGTCTAAGATCACCAGCCTGTCAAGCATATCAGCACTCAAAGATCACCAGCCTGTCAAGCTCAACTGTAGCTCACTAGCATGTCAAAGATCACCAGCCTGTCAAGCATATCAACCTGTCCAGCTCACTAGCATGTCAAAGATCACCAGCCTGTCAAGCATATCAACCTGTCCAGCTCACTAGCATGTCTAAGATCACCAGCCTGTCAAGCATATCAACCTGTCAAGCTCACTAGCATGTCAAAGATCACCAGCCTGTCAAGCATATCAACCTGTCAAGCTCATCAACCTGTCAAAAGGTAACCAACCTGTCAAGATCATCATCCTGTCAAAGGCTCACCAACCTGTCAAAGGCTCACCAACCTGTCAAGTCCATCAACCTGTCAAAGGCTCACCAACCTGTCAAGTTCATCATCCTGTCAAAGGCTCACCAACCTGTTAAAGGCTCAACAACCTGTCAAGTTCATCAACCTAAGTGAACTTCAATGAACTGATAATTTGTATTTTAATATGCTTAAGTTAATTTAATCCCTTTCTTAGTAATGGTAACTCACTAAATCACGTCCAGAAATATTAACTGTGTTTGTGTAAAGTATATCTAGAGTGATTTGGTGCGAACTGAAACGTCAAATCATGTTGAAGCGAAAAAGTTAACTACCCACAATTAAAACAAAACATTACAGTATATATGGTATATTTCCTGTAAGTGAATATACCATTAAACATTTTAATTTGAATCAACTTGAAATTTTAACCGTAAATTTATAATATTGATTATTTTTTTTAGCTAAACTACGAGTAATATTAAGTAAGTCTGATGTAGCATATAGTTAACCCCGAAGTAAATTTTTCCTTCCTCTGAACGTAGTGATTAATCTTAGATATAGAAGTTAAGGGAGTGTATTATTTTATATGACTATTAAATTGGGATATTGGTGTACTTATCAACAGGTGCTTCAATGGTTAACTTAAAAAACACACTGTCAGTACCTGCTAGTAGCCTAGCCAAACCAAACCTAACCTAACCTGCCTTACCTAACCTGCCTTACCTAACCTAACCAAACCTAACCCACCTTATCTAACCTAACCTAGCCTATACTTAACCTTACCCAACTAAACCTAACCTTACCTAACTAAACCTAACCTAACCTATCTTACCTAATGCTAACTAACACTAACTTATCAATTGTGCTTTGGGTTTCAAAAGGATACTGGAATATAAATAAATAATAAACAAAAATCAAAAACAAACTTTTATTTTTGGGGAATCATTGATATGCTTTGCTGAGAATAATACGTGTCTTAGCCCCGTGTTACCGTGTATATTTATTGTCTAAAGAGGGTGAAGAACTCGACGCTTGGGAGCGATGTATGTGAGAAGTAGCATTTCATTTGGTGGCTGTCCTTCACACACAGGAGTCCAGGACACTCCCAGGTACAGTTGCGAAAATGTGCTTCCTCCACCCCCCATGGTAACGCGTGTCTCTAAATGGCAACGTTGCAGCAGTGATATAAATATTTATGAATGAATGGGTATTATTCGTGTATTGACGGACGTGATTGGTGGTTAGATTTGCTATAGGTCATATAGGTTGGCCGTTTGGAGACACAGGTACCACAGCGGGCGGAGGAACGCATTTCCGCAACTGTGCCTAACTGTACAGTGTACACTGACTTTACTTTTATCCTCTTCGCCACTGAACAACTCGTTTGCAGCTTGGGCGGTCGGTCACGTCTCTGTTACGCACTGCTGGCAAGTAATGGCGTCTGAATGTATCGGAACCTCCTCCAGTGTTGATCAAGACTGGTCTTGAAAGAGCTCACACTCGGTGCAGGGTTGCCAACTCGGATTTTCAAATGTCGCTAGGCTGGTACCTAAAAGTAGCTAAATGTCGCTAAATCTTCCATGGAAAGTCGCTAGCTATTATTCCCCCCCTTCAGTAATTTGATGCAAATAATATTTTCATAATGCCGACTATAATGGACGGAGTATAAATAAAATGCATTATGTAAAAATAAAAATATTATTTTTTTTAAAGTTTAATGTGCACACTTACCTATTATTCAATAGTAATTGCATCCCAGTCCTCTTCGTAGTGTGAACAACTGTAGAGCTGGAAGCATGTGAAGTGCTTGGTTCAGGTTCTCGTGCAGATATCTTGTAACTGTATGCCTCCACAGTCCCTATCTTTCTTAAAATATCACTAGGAAGTTCATAACTTGCACAACAGGTGTTCTGTCTTTTTAACCCATACTTTATTGTAAGAATTGCCTTTAATGTCGATAGTTTCATTTTGTTGCGCAATTTTGATTTCACAAAGTTCATATTACTAAATGTGCGCTCTACATCTGCGTTTGAATGCGGAAGAGATAAGGCAGGGAGTGCAATTTCAGCCAGATCATGGTAAGGGTTTTCACCTGTCGCATCTCTGTAATTTGCCACTTCTGACCACAATTTTAGGGTGTTAGATGTTTC